GGGACACCCAGTTTTCGCGGGCTAGTCCTGCTTCCGGTAGTTCGGAAGGTTTGCCTGGTAGCGATAGTTCGCTTAAGGAACATGCACCCTCATATGTGATCAGCTTGCAGTAAAAGTCGCACCTGCAGCATAGAGTTGTATACATGACGTGCGATGTAAATTTGAAAGGGTGGTAGGAGGGGAAGTTGACGTTGAGTGTAAGCAAATGTTTTCCATTGTTACTTTTCGCCCTGTGACATATGACTTAAGAATGAGGGCACTTTCCGGGTTTTTTCTTCCAAAAAGGCGTGGCAAACCTTTCCGGTTGACAACACAGCGAGGAAGAACCTAGAAAACCGATGGTTGGTCTCCACGACATCTCTCCCCCCGAAACGGCACGGTCCATGTGAAACACGAGTCAATAGCTACTAATAGCTTCTTGTCACTTGTAGGAATGCACTTGTTCCTAGTAGTGATGCACTTGCTACTACTAGCGATTCCCTTGCTACGTTCGCACCTCGTGTTGATGCCCTTGTCACATCGAGCCCCCTTTGCCAAGGAAGGCCTGGACCGATTTAGCACCTGACTCGAGACTGGACACGGAGTCCATTTCCATCTCGGACCCCAACGCGAAGGTGGGGAAGTGGACGAAGTGGGCCAAGTGCTGTTCCATGTTGGCCTCCTTGAAGAAAAGCAAGAGAGGCCGGAACGAGGTGCAAATTCTACCTCAGTAAAACTGAGAAACAACAATCATGCAGAATCATCTTCCACGCTCTTTTTTGCGCGTGTGATCGTCCAACAGCCTGGGTGACACACGCTTGTCGACACACGCTTGTTGCTTCAACTGGCGCAAGTGGCGCTTTTGCCAAGAAACCTTGAAGCTTCGTCCTCCCCTGTGGTTTTCATGGAGAACTCATTAAGTTCCATCAACTTCTCCAGATAGACTGGTAGGGCTTCGCAGCCTTTGGATGCTCATTGCTGTTTTTGTGTTCTTTTTCCGGAGACCTCCATGGGGGCCAAGACGATGGGCTCGTCGAACGTCTATCGTCGTCTCGCCGGCTTACCCCAAAGGGGGCCAGGCCCGGCCCGGCGCGGGCGCCCAAAGTCCCTGCTTGAAACCCGCGATTTTCCCGGCTCTTGTAGGGGGGCATGCCCATTCACAGCTAGTCCACTGCTAGTAGCTCGGGGTGGTTGTAAACCCTCGGCTTCCCCGTTCCGCTTTTGGCGGGCTTGACCGGAACTGAGAGCCCTTGGGCGACACAGCGGAGCAAAATCAGAAAAGAGCTGCACGCGGCGGTGAGCTTTGAACAAGTATGCTCTTGATTAACTCTCGGTAGATCCTTTTGTAATCTTTTGTATCCTTTTTGTTCAGTCAGACGGAGCATGTTCCTTCCAATGAAGGCCATTCTGCCAGCTAGCAGCTAGCATTTGAGCTTCTGTTCCACTTCGCTTTGGGCACCGACAACTCTATGGCAACTTGCACCGACGAAGAACCGATAGAGTCAAAACGGTTGGACTTGACTTGGAGTTTAGTTATCCAAAGTTTCTTTTTGATCAACACATGTCAACACCACTGAATGGCAACGCCAACACTGTCTTGCGATCGATAGCGAACGCATCTGCCAGGTCTGCTATCGCAGCTGCACCCAGGCACCTGGAAAGATTCGAAGGCAGCGGATGGCATGGCCACTTTGCATGGCCATTTTCCGAATACCACGCAGCTGGTGAACTCACTCCACTTTCATGATCAAACGCGTGTTTTTCTCGCTCCTGTACCCAGCTTGGTGACCTTTTCGTGCTTTCAACATTACAATCGAAGGAAAACAGGCATTTTGAAAGATATGGAACCAAGCAACGGTTTTTAATGTGAATGTTCCGACGCCTACCTTTGTTCCGACGCCTACCTTTTGTCCGTTGATTTGGGCCAACACTGCTCAACACTCCGTGTTTTCTCGAGGCCATAAAAACCACAGTGAGAGCAAGCAACCGAGGTCTTTGGCAGTCGCCAGTGGCTACTGTAGTGGGGGCATGCTCTCTTCAAGTGCAGGATGGTCTTTTCGTCCCGTGGAGGGCAATGAAGCGAGAAGGTATGCCATCACCGGAAGCAACTGGAAAGACCACACCCGATCAGTGAAGGTACATCTGGTACTTCTTTCGGAAAGCCAAAGAGCAGAATTGAGTCATGGCCGGCACTGGTGTTCATTGCGCGTACTTCTTCGGAAAACCATCCCAAAGGGCACACAGCCTAACTTTGAGTTTTTTTTTCCGTGAAGAATTTGAAAAAGCCATCCAGCGCAAAAAAGCGCGGGCGGCGGGTGGAGATGAAGTGGCCGGCGTGAGAAGGTGGTGGCTTTGGCTGGACAAAATGCTTTTGGAAAAAAAGCAGTGTCTTCTTGATGAAGGAACTGTGGGAGAGAGCATGCTTTTGGAAGCTTTTTGGTGAAAAGCAGCTCCAAATTTGGTGAAGAAGTGCCACAGGCGGGGCTGCGCAAATGAGATGCTCTGTCCATTTGTCAATCGTGTCTAAGTCTGCATGGTTGAACAACAGCGACCCCTGCTAGAGGAAAAGTATCGAAGGTGCTGTGACTTCCCTTTCACAAGCATTTGCAGCATTTGGCAGCGAAAGAAGGCGCTGAGGATGGAAAGAGCATGTCAGGGTTCACTAGTGACGTTGGGGTTTCTCATGCTTTTTTGTTACGAACGTAGCTCCTGGCCTTACTAGTAGCAGAGTCCGGAGCGTTTCGGGCATCGCTACGAGTCCGGAGCGGAGGCGAACCGCACGGGAGCGAACCGCATGTCTTGGCCGTTCGTGGAGTTTCCTGGCTCAAAGGGACTCGGTCATGACTCCATCCCGCCATGGCGCCTGGAGGCCTTCCAGACATTTCGGGCATGCTGCGGGCTTAGCTCCGGCTTCGCGCCCGCGCTCCGAGTCGCGTGATTCGCTGGTTCAGAACCTGCGGCCCTCCTGTAGCGTCCGATCGTAGCTCGTCGCGATGCGCTCGTCGCGATCGTAGCTCGTGTTTTCCGTTCATTTTCACTCACTCAGGACCTCCTTGAAGGCGCTTCCCGCGCCATCGAAAATGGACATGTCTGCGGGCGCGACGGGCACGGCGCGAACATGAGAACTCGTCATCTGGTTGCTCTGAGTCGGCTTTGTCATGACTCATTTTACCTCGAACTGCTAGGGGTGGATGGATTCTGACTATCAGGTGGAGTGGTTCATGTTCGTCAAGTCACGGAAGTTCTGGCTTTTGATAGCAGCCCAAGTCTGCGCTCCGGGCGGCCCAGGTCGTCTAACTCGGTGGATAGGTAGGTCGTCCCCAAAACCTCGGCGCCAGTCTGGTCTCGCTAGGTGGACATCACCGGGGCCATTCCAGAGACTTGGACTGCCGATGAATTGCGTCGCAAGTTCGAGAGGTGAGGGTCGGAGTGGTCGGTGTCGGTCGCACCGGTGGTCCTTTTTGAAGTGGTTTTCAGGGCGGCGTGGCGAAAGGAACGCCAAGACCGGATGAATCACTGGTCCACAGGGCGTTTGAAGAGGCCTGCCCCTAATTCCGGGATTCCTTTTGGGGTGTTCGAAACAAACAAACCAGGAGAGAGGAAAATGAAAGGCAACGACCAGGAGATGGCGGAAGGCTCGATTTAATTATTGGAGGTGTGCCATACAGAGTAACATGGGGGTGACCAGGCCCCATGAGGGGTACCATGGGGTACCCCTTGTGGGCTTCTCAAACTCCTTCTTGATCCTTAAACACGGCTGGCTTAATTACTGTAACAACTAAAAAGTGATTGTTGCATCTAGTCAAGTCATTTAAGCAAATCACTGACTTGCTAAATAAAGGAAGAAATGACAACAAAAGGAACGGAAATGACAAGGAAAAGAAACGAATGTAGAGGAAAACCGCTGCAATAGGATGGGAGGAACGCTCGGTTTAACAGGGTGGATTTCCAGAGTGAAAGTTGCCTATTCGGGGGAATCGTTCGCTGTAATGAATTTGGCTATTGCCCATCAACTTTTGTGGACATGGCTTTGTTTACTCCTCCATAGCATTGAGTTGCAGCTCATTGCAAGTACATGGCCCACAACATGAGAATACCTCCGAAACAGAAAAAGTAATCGTGATCAGCTGAGTGAAGAACACAGGCAATAGAACCAAAGGAAATGTGTTCTAGATTTTGTTGAGGGGCTGGACTCTGCTAGAGGGCTAGCCCAACAGTCGGCTGTGTGGTTGAGAGAAAGTTAGCCAGAAGGAGTGTCGCTGCAAAGGTAGATAGGACTGATAGGTAGACGGGACAGTTGTTAGTATTTTGTAAAAACAAAATGCTTTGAAGCAGCCATTGGTCTAGCCAGTTGAAGCTGCATCGAATACTTCCAACAGCAACGACGTCCAAATGCCGTGCGAGTTGCCCAGTCCCAGAATCGCCAGCCCTCAAGTCAGCTGTGCCTTCACAGAACCATTCGGTTTGGTTTCCATGAATGATAGCTTCCAGAAGCTGATCGGTGATTGGGCTGGTTCTCTCGCATTTTTGTGAGCGATTGGTTTCCATAAAGCACAGCCTATCAGGCCCCTTTTTCAGCTTCTGGATTCGACGAAGATGAGAGCTTGCACTTCTGTCACAAATGATTGGGATAGCCACAGGCGTGCAACTGAAGTAAGTGGATAGAATCCAACACGCCACAGGCGTGCACACCAAATCCGCCCAATCCGCCCGTCATCCCACGACCAGCGTTCGCCCGTCGCTCAGCTGAATCGTTCCGGCTTGAGCTGCGAGTTTCGCCGCCGGGCCGAGCTGGAATTTGATCCTCGCTGAAACTCAAGAGCCTCCTTTGAAACATCCACAAGACAAACCTCCAGTCTTCACTGTTACAGGCTTTTGCATGTTGATCGGTCATCTCTCTTCGATTAAGGAGGTTTCTTCTTCACAGACGCGCAATCGGAGCAAGAAGCTCATGCTTCAAGCTCTGTAGGACATTCTGCATCCAAGGTTCCTGACCTGAGCCTTCAAAACAAGTTTTGAGCAGCCATTTTCCAGAACTTTTGCGCTTCAAACCCGTTTCCATTGCAGCTTTTTGGTCCGTCTGAACACAAGTAGGCGCCTACTTCATTAAGTAAGGGCGGGCTAAAAGAGAAACACATACCATATACATGTAGCTGCATTGCAGCTTCCTAATTTTGCAAACTTGAAGCCATAATTCTCACTGCCACGGTCAGTCGTTGTTTCTCGAAGCGCTTTTCAGTGCAGCGAATTTACTTCGCAGACAAGGCATAGAAGAAGTGCACATGAAAAGATAGTATGTCTAAGGAACATATTTGGTAGAAGTAGGACATAGATGCTTTAGAATGGTGGTCATTAGGTTATTATTTTGATCTACTCATTGAGAGGTCTGGCCAAAAGCAATGTTGTTGCAAGGACAAAAGGCCAACGGAGCAAGCACTGCAAGCACTGGTTCCGTCTGTCATTCACATCAACAGACGTGGTGTGTATTTTTTTGCTAGGCCTCCAAGCAATGAGTTTGGTCTTTGGGAGGTTTTTTCCATTGCGCCCCACGTGACGATCGTCCTTTGCGTCCCACGTGACGATGGCCTGACGCGCCAGGTTTGGTGATATTGGAGATGTGTTCATACCGCGGGAGAGGTTCTCCGACAGGCCGGCTGTAGGCGGCTGTGGGGAAGAACTGCAGTCAGCCAAGGAAAGCGACCCTTTGCCTAGAAGGCCATCGCTATTAGATTGGAGGCCATCCCTATTAGATTGGAAGCCATTACTACTAGGAGCAAGGACGCTACGAACGGGGCTCCTGACATTGCTACGAACGGAGCATTCTTACAGCAAGAAGCTATATAGTAACAAGGACGCTATATAGTAACGGTGAGCTTTTAGGATGTCAAGTTACTAGTAACAGGAACGAACCCCCCAACCCCCCCAACTCCGAACGCGTCACGACGAGGCCTAGGCCCTTCGGCTTCGTGCGCTTCATGGAAGACGAGGACGCCAACGAGGCTGGCTTCGGCGGCCGGCGGTCCTTCCGTCCGGGTCGGAGTCGCTGGACGCCGGTGGCGAGGCCATCAAGGAGATGAACGGCACCAAATTCGAGGCCGGAAGGGGTCTGAAATTCGATTGGCGGGTCACTTGGTGACAGAACGTGTTGAAGAACGGTGTTGAAGAACGGTTTGATCTTCGTTTCAGTCGGTTTCGGTCTTCGTTTCAGGGGTCCTGCAGTTCTTTATATCGGCTGTTGATCTCAAGTGCTTTGGCATCTGCTCAAGAGTCCTGGTCGCTGCTTCTCTGCGCTTCTAACTTTTCATGGAAGTGCTGACTGACAACATCTTTTTTTAGTCTTGCGGGTGGAAAACGGTCCACTCGCAGATGTTTCTTTTCCATGCCCGCAGATGTTCGCTTCATTTTTTTAAACAACAACTTTTCTATGAATCATCTCATCATGTCAGGAAGGATATTTTGTGCGAAACCACATTTTTCACCGCAATGCT